ATTACATGTCAAATGTGTGCTATCACTATAAGGAATTAGAGTATACTGAACTTTGCACATTATATAGGCTACACTAACGTGATGTTTATGAGGTTCGTTTAACTATTATACGTCAAGTACGTTTTTTTGGGAGTGGTTAATGAAAGTGTTCCAAAACGCGACATTAATTTCTTGACCTAATACATTAAGGGTAAACAAAATGTTGGTATTGGAGTAGGATCTTTGAGGAATGATAAAAGAAGGCTTGTATCTGATGATTATGAGATGGCTGGGTTATTAAATTCTGCTTTTCCTTCAGTTTTTACTAATGAAGTTTTAAGCAATATTCCTCATCTTCAACAGTTGATAGATGGAAACAAGACCGAACAAGATGATCACATTAATTCTGAAACTGTTGAGAAAAAATTGGGAAGTTTAAAAAACGATAGGGCTCCTGGGTCAAATAATATTTCCCGAAGGGATTTGAAGGAGGTCAAGGATTGGATATGTGAGCCACTTGCTACTATTTTTTGTAAGTCCTTGAATAGTGGGCAGGTGCCAGAGGATTGGAAGTTGGCTAATCTTACTCCTCTTTTCTAGGGAGGAGATAAAAATTGTTACAGTAACTATAGGCCTATTAGCGTTACATCAGTTGTAGGAAAAGTACTGGAAAGTCTGTTAAAAGATGCTTTGCTTAACAAAGTTTAGTATTTTATTGAATAGTCAACATGGCTTCACTAAGGGAAAATCTTGCCTTTATAAATTTTTTGACATTTTTTGAAAAGGTTACTTCTTATGTAGATGAGAGTAAGAGTGTAGATTTGGTGTGTTTGGATTTTCAGAAAGCATTTGACAAGTTACCACATAAAAGACTTGTAAAAAATTATCTCTATAGCTGTGAAGGATAGGTTAGCTAATTGGATAGAAGAGTGGCTGGATGGAAGAAAGCTGAGGGTTGTTATAAATGGAGTTCAGTCAAACTGGATTAAAGTCACAAGTGGGGTACCTCAGGGATCAGTCTTAGTACCTTTGCTCTTTTTTATTTACATCAATGACATAGATGAAGGAATGGTCAGTAAATTACTTAACTTTGCAGATCATATTAAGGTATTGGGTATTGCTAGCTGTGAGGATGCTGCTGATTTACCAAAGGATTTAGATCATTTAGTGAGTTGAGCAAATGAATGCCAAATAGGTTTTAATTATAATAAATGCAAGATAATGCATGTGGGTTATCATAATT